ACAATCATCAGATAATATTATTGTTTCGGATTTTATTAATAATGTGTTTAATTATTTTTGTAATTTAAGTATAAAAAAAAAAGTGATATCTCCGAGTATCCCAGAAGAATGACATGTATACTAATTTATTATATCGTATAGTATTGTTGAAGTCAATGAGAACAAATCAACATACAACACATATTTGAAGGATAATATTTCTAAGTATATCCCAGTGACTGTTGTGTGTGACTACAAAGGTAATTAAATATTGTTAATTTTATTATGTAAGATGTGTAACCATATTATATTTGATATAATAGGATCTCGGAAAGGCGGCAAATCTTTTTATTTATTTATCAATTTGTTAATAACTATGTGTTTGTATATATAGAGAGCTTCAATTGAGAGATCCTCAAATAAGCAATTACTATGAAGATGAGACTTTCTGATTAACTTATTGTCGTGCTAGATCTTTGGGGACAATGTCGAAATCATTTCTTATGTAGGCAGTTGTAGTGCTGTTATTTCATAGATTTGCCAACACATATGTTTGATTTATTTATTCTCAATTATTTGAAACATATAAGGCCTTTGTTGTCACAAAAATTAAAAAGAAAAGAAAAAAGAAACACATAAGGCCTTCGAACAAAATGCATATCTACAGTACTCGCAAATGATTAGTCTTGTATTGTATTGGTGCCAAATTACCAATAATGATTTGACTTTTTCCTATCTTAGAATAAAGTGTGGTGGGTCAGGAATCTGGGCTGAAAGCCCAATTGGAATGCGTCATATTCTTGATATTTTTTGTTTCAATTTTAGTTTGGGCTCCCTCCAAGAATCATAGTGAAATGAGCAAATGAGAAAGCAGCATGAAACCGACGTGTAATGATCAGAAAGAGACCAAACGACAGGAGCGCCAACCGTCACCAACGGTCAAGCTTCTGGCAAAAATGTACCAACCTCCGAGCTCTCAAGCAAGTCCACGCTTCCATGGTCGTCAACGGCTTCAATTCAAACTATTCTGCTATCAGAGAACTCATCTTCGCTGGTGCTATGGCTATTTCAGGCACCATAGATTATGCCCACCAACTGTTCGTTCATGTTGCTGAACCAGATACCTTCATGTGGAACACCATGATCAGAGGCTCAGCTCAGAGCCAGAGCCCATTAAATGCGATTGTTCTGTATACCCAGATGGAAAATCGGCATGCAAGGCCCGATAGCTTCACTTTCCCGTTTATACTCAAGGCCTGCACTAAGCTTTCTTGGGTTAAGATGGGTATGGGGATTCATGGGAAGGTTGTGAGGTTCGGATTTGAGTCGAATACGTTTGTTAGAAATACCCTTATTTATTTCCATGCTAATTGTGGGGATTTGAAGATTGCGAGCGAACTTTTTGATGCTTCGGCGAAGAGGGACGTTGTGCCATGGTCAGCTTTGACAGCAGGATATGCAAGAAGGGGGAAGTTGGATCAGGCCAGGCAACTTTTCGACGAAATGCCTGTTAAAGATTTGGTTTCTTGGAATGTGATGATTACAGGGTATGCAAAGCAAGGGGAGATGGAGAGTGCAAGGAAGCTCTTTGATGAGGTTCCGGAAAGAGATGTGGTGACTTGGAATGCAATGATTGCAGGTTATGTACTTTGCGGGTCGTATGAGCAGGCACTGCAGATGTTCGAGGAGATGAGCAGTCTTGGAGAAAAGCCTGATGAAGTGACCATGTTGAGTCTTTTGTCTGCTTGCACAGATATTGGAGATTTAGATGTTGGGCAAAAGATACATTCTGCCCTTCTGGAGATGGGTCGGGGAGATATGAGCATCATACTTGGAAATGCGCTTATAGATATGTACTCTAAGTGCGGGAGTATTGAAAGGGCACTTGAAGTGTTCCAGAGTATGAGGGACAAGGATGTGTCTTCGTGGAATTCGGTGATAGGAGGTTTGGCATTTCATGGCCATGCTGAGGAATCAGTTAATCTGTTTAAAGAGATGCGAAGGTTGAAAATCAGGCCAAATGAGATCACGTTTGTTGGAGTCTTGGTTGCTTGCAGTCATGCTGGGAAGGTTGAAGAGGGGCGCAGATATTTCAATCTCATGAAGAATAAGTACAAAATTGAGCCAAACATAAAGCATTATGGGTGTATGGTGGATATGTTAGGGCGTGCTGGGCTACTAGATGAAGCATTTGAATTCATAGAAAAAATGGAGATTGAACCCAATGCCATTGTTTGGAGGACTCTGCTTGGGGCTTGTAGAGTTCATGGAAATGTCGAGCTGGGAAGGCGAGCAAATGAGCGGCTACTTGAAATGAGAAGGGATGAGAGTGGGGATTTCGTGCTGCTATCAAACATATATGCTTCGCGAGGTGAGTGGCATGGGGTTGAAGAGGTGAGAAAGCTAATGGATGACAGTGGGGTGAAGAAGGAGCCTGGCTGTAGCTTAATTGAAACAGATAACAGCGATCTCATGCATTTTTTGTTCGATTCCAGGCCCAAGTCGATTTAAACACACCACAGATTCAAGTCTCAGATTGATAAGCCAGTGCTCTCATGTCATTATTTTGTCTCTTTAAATGGTTAAACATTAAAAATGGTCAGAAGTTCTTGTCTGATTTAGGAATGAGTTTGAACCCTTTGTGGCTACCATTTTTCGTTTGCCTTCTTTTCCACTCGTTCTTGCTGTCGAAAAAAAAAGCTATATATGTATTATAGTAGTTAGAGGGACATGAAAGGTTTAAGTGCAACATTTTATGAAGGTAGTCTCCCATTTATACTCAATAAAATAATAGACAGTGTTTGCATTGTAGCAGATCGAACTAGTTACAGTAAATAGAATTGAGATACAATAATTGGGCAAGGAAATGAAATGAAATACATAATACGGCATACGTTTTTCATATCAAATAAAGAAAAAAGAAACATTTTAGCTGACACACGAGGCCCAAGTCGATTTAAACACACCACAGATTCAAGTCTCAGATTGATAAGCCAGTGCTCTCATGTCATTATTTTGTCTCTTTAAATGGTTAAACATTAAAAATGGTCAGAAGTTCTTGTCTGATTTAGGAATGAGTTTGAACCCTTTGTGGCTACCATTTTTCGTTTGCCTTCTTTTCCACTCGTTCTTGCTGTCGAAAAAAAAAGCTATATATGTATTATAGTAGTTAGAGGGACATGAAAGGTTTAAGTGCAACATTTTATGAAGGTAGTCTCCCATTTATACTCAATAAAATAATAGACAGTGTTTGCATTGTAGCAGATCGAACTAGTTACAGTAAATAGAATTGAGATACAATAATTGGGCAGGAAATGAAATGAAATAAATAATACGGCATACGTTTTTCATATCAAATAAAGAAAAAAGAAACATTTTAGCTGACACACGATGGATTCAATCTTTCACTTACAATACACACGAACTGACAAACTGATGCACAAATCAATACATATATACGTGCATCGTTGAGAATGTATAAGACTGACACTCAACATCGAGGGAGGGCTGCAGCTGAGAGCAAGATTAGGAGTATAAAAACAACTCCTATAAAAGATCAAATTAAAGAGTCAGAGATGAGCTCGCAGGAGTTGAATTGTTGGCAGATTGCAAACCAATTTGCGCATTACCCTTGCTAGCTAAGTATACAGTAGCTGCTGCTACAGAGGCACCATGCCGTCAGAAGAGCCAGCATTGTCCACACAACGCAACCGTATAAATTCACTTCTATAAGACAAGAGCAAGCACAATGGATAGCATGATGTTGCAAAAAAAAAAAAATCTTAATTAGGTATTACAGTGTCGAAGAAGATCAAGATAATTCTGCTTCTTTTGGCGTTTCTTCGTACGATATGGCAACCACGAAAAATCTGTTCTTATAAGAAGCACAAGTTTATTAGTTCATGTAGCAGAAGAGACATTCATAAACACAGAAAACTTGACGTTCAGGAACACATACATGAACGTTGGAAGATCATCATTCCATGCTGTCTATATAGTAATGTAAAAGGTACAGCCATTTAGAATTTACAACACTTGACACTTTACTTTCGTCATTCTTCTTCTATGGCAAAATCAGTTGCATAAACTTACTTGTTTTGTGTACGATCCGGCAAGGAAGAAATTTTTTACGGGTCTCTTCCGATCAGGTCTAAACGGATCTTTTCCAGGTGCCTCCCGATAGAGAGATTGCCAAATTTTGGCA